GCAAGGCCTGGTGATGTCTGCTCTCTGCCTGTGAAATCTGACACACACACTGTCAGAGGCTGAAGTTTGCATCAGGAAAGTAAATGTGGACAGCTTACACTCTCAACACCTACAGAGGCTTTCCTGCAGGTTGTTCCTTTGCAATTAAGTTGTTCATTAAATCTAATGGTCAGGAGACAGTTACAGAGTCGAGTGCCAACCTCCCCCCTTGCAGAAAATGAGTAAGTTCCAGTGCTCAGCGTGCCAGCGTTTTTTCCAGTAGCATAATTTGTGTACAGTTTTAGTTTCAAAGCACTGTGTGGTATGTGTGTGTGTGTGTGTGTGTGTGTGTGTGTCTATATCTGTGTGCTGGGAGGGTTGGAACGTGCGTGCGTGCATGTGTGTGTGTGTACCAGTGTGTGCTGGGAAGGATGGGACCTTGAGCCCCATGCATTGGGCCTTACAACTCAGCTATCCCCACAGCCCTGTGTAATGACTACCTTGTCAGGCACACGTGAGAACAGGGTGATAGGTAATGGCTCTGAACTCAGATAAGGATCCTCTGAATTCTCCTCCTCGTGCCCAGTCTACAGAATGGGGTAACAGTCCGTAAGTGCCATCTCTGTTGGGTGGTCTAGGGATTAGGGTGAGTGAAGTACAGCACCAAACGAGTGAGTGAGTGGGGTATGTTAAAGATGCCTGCAATTACTGTAGCAGAACTGCACAGATTTATAGTCCTAATGTAATGGCATGTCCCTGTAGGCATGCATGTTTACATTTTAACTTCATATCCAAAACTGTCTCTGAGGAGTCTCTTCCAGAGCCAGGTGACGGTCTCACACGTGGGGCCACTCGGAAGTGGACCCACCGTGACTGGGAGACAGTGCACTGCCCGAGCCCACGCTGGGCAAGCTCAGCCTGAGAGCTGGGTTCGTTACATTTTTATCCTCTTACCTTTGTAATTGCTTTAAGTTGTTTTCCCTGCCGTTAGAGCGATGTGCAAGGCAGATTGGGGTGCCAGAGTGAGGTAATGGACGTCTGGATGCATGACAGTGATGTCAAAGCCCAAGAATGTGGAGGCAAACCAGAGCTGGAGCTAACACCATGCTTGGAAGGCTTGTGTGGATGCCTGCCTGTCTGTCTGTCACCTATCTATCTGTCCATCCATCTGTCCATCCTTCCATCCATCCAGTCTGTTTATTTAGGATGCACTGTGTGTCCTAGAAGTCTATTTTGTTCTCTTTGGTGCCAAAGGATTATGATTAGAGCCTCATACGACATGAAGCAAGCAGGCATTTGCTGGTCCCCAAAAAACAAGGGTCCCCTGGGTTTTCTCCATTGAAGACTCAGACAGAATCTCGCTGTAGCCAGCCTGGAAGGAAGTCTGAGTCCACGCATCACCAAACACTTAGAGCTCTGGACCTCAAGAGGCCTGAGAGTCACCTGACCCAGTGCCTTTCCTGACACGGTCCCCAGAGCCCAAGTGCACCTCTGGAGGAAGTGTAGCCCCCTGCTGCTGCAGCAGGATGCAGCCTCTTTCCTCCCTGGCCTCAGGCCTTCCCCTGGGCTGGCTGGCTTGCCCTGGCCCCATTGCTTATTAAATAGCCTGGTGAGGCTGCAGCGGCTGAGGGGGTAGCCCACAAGGACCCCACGTCTTCACGGGACAGGCCAGCACTGCTAGGTCACAGGTGTGCTCTGTCCTGCTTTGGTGACTGGAAACTGCCACAGGCCGTAGACAGCCTTGGAGGACCTGGACCTTGTCCTTTGGCAAGGCTAGCTCTGAGTACTGTGTGTGGCTTCCCTGGGGCGATAGTATAGCAGTGACTGTGTTGGCCCAGGGCCTAATAAATGTGCCTGTGGTCTGAATCAGAACTGCACTGGGGAGATGACACAGGGGCCAGTGAGTCCAAAGGCACAGGCCTCCTGCCGGCACTCTGTGCTCCTCCCCTCTAGACCCCCTCTGACCTCATTCTCAATATGCTTGCTCCTGGGCAGCAACAGACTCGAGTACAGGAAGTGTGGAACTTGTGTCTGCCATAGCCTTACTCTTAGCCCAATTTTCCAAGTTCAAGCACAGCCAATGTCTGCAGTGTTCTCTGCGTTCAGTCTGCCGGGTCCTCACTGCACCAGCACTTTTGCCTGAGCCCTCCAAGCTCCCTCGCAAGTTCTCCAGTCATGTTCCTCAGCATTGTGGCCCAACTGTATGTCTCCAGTTCAAGTCCTAACTCATCTGAGTTCTTTATTTTTTAATTAGCATGTGCTAATTTTTAATGACCTTTAGCTGGGCAGTGATGGCACACTCCTTTAATCCCAGCACTCGGGAGGAAGAGACAGGTGAATCTCTGTGAGTTTGAGGCCAACCTGGTCTATAGATTGAGTTCTAGGACAGCCAGGGCTACTCTGAGAAACCCTATCTTGAAAAAAAACAAAAACAAAATAATAATAATAATGGCTTTTGTTATGTCTTGATCACAACCATGCCTGACAAGAGCTAACAAAATGCCTGTCACTAGGAGATATTTAACATGCATAAGATGACTGAATGAGGAACAGGGAGACAGAGTCACATGGATGAATGTGAGTGGGTGGGTGGATGGATGGTTGAACAGAGTAGATAAATGGATGGACTGGAAGGTGATTAGATGGACGGACAGTTGGATGCATAAATGCACTGAATATTTTCATACTGTGTTCTTGCATTCACTTTACATAGAAAAGACACAAGGAAATCTTTGTCGGCACAATGTAGAAATCACAGAGAATTTTATGTCCTTCATTGAAAAAAAAAAAAAAGCCAAGGGCCAGGCATGGTGGCATGCATCTTTACTCCCAGCACCTGAGAGGCAGGGGCAGGCTGCTCTCAATGAGTCTGGTCAGTCTACAATGCGAGTTGCAGGCCATCCAATACTGCATGAGACCTTTTGAGACTGTCTCAAGAAGAAAAAATGAAAAAGGAAGTGTCATTAATGACTCTCAGAATGTCTCCTAATGCCGACTACCATGTTTTTCTGGCTAAGTTCTTTCTCCGTTGTTCAGTGAATGTTTACTTCAGATGTTTCCCTCTGTCTTGTTTTATTCTAAGGATTAATTCATAGTTTATGCATCTTTATTGTTACAATGTCGCAGAATCTGTATGTGTTGGTTATGTTTCTTGCGCCATGGCTAAGAAAGGCAAGGCAGGGGAGAGGCGTTATTCTGGCTCACAGTTCAGAGCACATAGTCTGTTGCTGTGGGAGGTGCAGCCACAGGCAGCTTGTCTTTGGTGCTGGCCAGGAAGTAGACAGAGGAAAAGCCTGATGCTCAGCTGACTTCTGCCTCTCCCTCTTTATTCAGTCCGAGCCCCCATCCCAGGAGATGGCGCCCCAACATTCAGGGTGGCTCTCCCCTCCTCAGTCAGGGCTCTGGAAACACATTCATAGACACATCCAAGGTGAGCCTCGTTCATGACCCAGGTGTCCCTAAGGCCAGTCAAGTTGACAATCCAGGTTCACGGTCTTCAGCTCAATACCCAAGCAGATCATTTTAACCCACAGAACTCCGCCTTGGCCCGTAGGCTCAGGGCTGCCTCATAACCCAAAGCACATGCATTCTAAAGCTTCATAGCTTCAGCACTGTTCAAAAGGTTAGTCTTTTCCAAGACCTCAAGGCAATCTGTTACATGAATGGTTAGAAAATAAAATGCAAGTAACAGCATAACTACACACACAAACACACACACAGTTCTATCTGCAGTATAGCTACATTTGAGGCTAACTCTGCCATATATGAAGGTGGGGACACAGCTGAGCCCACAATACATGCTTCAAAATGAAATTCCTAAAGCACTCCAAACTCTCCGTTTTCCAGCATTTGTGAGCTGCCTCATGTGTAGAATCCGTTCATCTGTATCTCTGGGTTATGTACCCCACATCTCATGAGCCGATGTTTTCACAACAGTTAACACTAACAGGTGAATGGCATGCCTCCCTGAAGGGCCTCTGTCCAGGCTGTCAGTCTGTCCATTGCACTTGGGGAGAGAGCACTGTGTGGACGCATTATCAGATGCGCGTCCAATACTCTGCCTAGGTTTTCGTGCCTCGGATGGGAAGACAGAATGACACCATGACACAGCCCCTTAGAAGAAGCTCCTGGGGCTCCCGGGGTCCACCCGACTGTGGCCTTACACTCTCCGCAGGATGACTGTGGTGACTTGGGTGGATGAAGCTCCCCGGCCTGTCCCTCAGGACAGCCATGGCCCTGGGGCAGATGACAGGGAAGAGGACACCCTCCTTGCACACACCCAGAGACCGAACACCTGGTGCAAGTGGGAGGCCCCGTGTCCCATTTTGCACACCACACCAGCAGAGCTAAGGCTGTTCTCTATTGAACATGCCTCCCAAGCACAGCAGCCCAACAAGCATGACAAAGGAAGCGTGCAAGCTGTCAGCCCCCAGCTGCCTCGCTCTGTGGCAGTGCTCTGTCTGCAGCACCTGCTGGCATTCTCGTGTCTGGGCTGCAAGTCAGAAAGTAATAAGATCCCGTTTTTACCATGGTTTTTCTTCTCCTGCTGGAGGGAAATTGTAACCTTGATGGTACTGTGCCCTTGCTTCTGAAGGGAATAAAAACTTTAAAATTGAAGTATAAGATTGTCCCAGATACAGAAATAGATTTTTAAAATCCCAAGCATGTGACAATCACAGTGTGTGTGTGGAAACTTGGAGGACAAGGTTTTGTTGTTTGGTTGGTTGTTGGTTGAATTTTTGGTTTGTTTTTTGATTTTTGAGTCAGGGTTTCTCTGTGTAGCCCTGGCTGTTCTGGACTCACTTTGTAGATCAGGCTGGCCTCGAACTCACAGTGAGATCCTCCTGCCTCTGCCTCACTGAGTGCTGGGATCAAAGGTGTGTACCACCATGCCCCACTGGCAAGTTTTTGATAGTTATACCCCAGACAAATAAGCTTGCTGCAGGAAAAAAAAAATCCGTTCCTGTGTTCAGAGACGGGTATCTTGGTCACATGACTCTCTGCTGTCTGTTCTTCCACAGTGGCAATGCCGTCGCCTTTGGAGAACCTCCTGACTATAACAGCGTCACCCAGCAGGAGGACACTGTGAGTATGGTGTGAAATGGCGCGCCGTAACAGACCCACCTGTATCCGGGGATTGCAGTCGTCTCCCGAGGACAGTGTTCTGGGCAGTTTGGGCTCGCTGTTGAATGTGCAGCGTACATCATGGTCAGCCAGGACAGACCGGCCCTGGCCTGGAGGACCACACTCTCCAGCTGCAGCCACTGCCCAGCTGTGTTTCCTGAGGTATCATTCCGAAGGACCCGTAGGCGCCCCTGACTAATTTGCCTCAGCGTGCCTCTGTGGTACTCTTTCAGCTCTTAGAGTCAGGATAGCAGAGCTGTTACCAGTTAATCGGCAATACTGTGAGTTGGCCGAGGCATGATGACAGGACTTTGATTCGATTTTAGCTCAGTTTGCTAAAACAAATTACTCTAAACTGAGCAGTTTAATCACTGATTTCTCGTGGTTCTGGGTGGCTCTGGTAAGGGCACTTGCTGAGCTGTGGACAGAGGGCTGCTCCTCCTGATCGTGGGTGGCAGAGCCTTCTCTGACCTCTTTTGTGTGTGTGGCCCCATTCATGAGTGTCCCCCCTCCTGAGCCAATGCCACCTCCCAGCGTCCCACTTCTGAAGTTCTTCATAGTTTGGTTACCATAGCAGCATAGGGATTTGAAGGGACAAAACATTGTCCCTAGCAGATACAATCCCACAAGTGACGAGAATCCCTGTTTAAACATATGTTTGTAACCAGCACTGTTGAGGGCTGCATGGGTATATCCCAGCAGTCATAGAGACAGACTCTCAAGGCCGGGTTCTTGGGAAACACTGTGAACACTGTGTGCAGGCCTGGTGCTGGGGAGACCTGGGACAGTGCTGAAGGACAGCAGAGCCGTGGCCAGTCAGAATGGTTACGAGCGCCCTCCTCCCGAATCCACGCTGATGGCACTGCTAGTCTCGGACTTCACCCAGGACCAGGCAGACAGAGCAGACCAACAAGGGGACACTCAGCTGCTGGCTAGGCAGCAGCCACGCTGAGAGCGAGCTGAGCTGAGGCAATGGCGAGCAGTTGGCATCTGGGCTTGGGGTGCTCTTTCTCCCCAAGGAGACTGGAACAGTGTCCTTCCTAAACAGGCAGAAGCTTTCTTAGTTGCCAAACCACCCCACCCAAAATTCAGAGTGTCTGTCACAGTTAGAGGTCGGAATACATTTAAAAGTCTTAACTACTCCAGCGTTGGAGAGACGGCCCACCAATAAGAGCACTGGCTGCTCCTCTAGAGGACCCAGGTTCAGTTCCCAGCACTGGCAGCTCACAGCTGTGTAACTCTAGTTCCAGGGGATCCGTGGCACCAGGTTGCGTGTGGAGCCCAAACCTGTGCCTGCAGGCAGAATGCCCGCACACAGAGAAGAAAGTAAATAACCCTTTATGTAACTATTCATACAACTGAGAGGCCAGCTCGGGGAAAGGCAAGGCGCTCCGTGAAGCTCCTGCTGTATCTGGGACGAGGGTGGGAGTGGCTAGAGACCTCGGGACTTATTTCAACCTTGTTGAAATTATTTCAACCGTGTCCTTGTTGAAAGATGAACTGTATTGGTTTCTTATGCCACTGCCTCCCATCTCCACCCCTTCTCCCTCCCAGCCCCTCCCAACACCCCAACACTAGGCAGGCGAGGAAGAAGGTTAGAGTTGTGGGATTCTTCGGGGTATACCAATCTCAGTCCTCAGCATATCTAGCATCCAGCAAACAGCAACAGCAAACACAGCAGAAGGACGAAGTAGCCACAGCACAGGGAGCAGCAGCTTTCTTCTTTCTCGGAGCTTTTGGCTCTCTCCCAGCTCTGGTGTTTATACCCTCTCCGAGTCCTCAGAATTCCACTAACTGCAGCTGGCGAAGACCACAGCTGTCTCTGAGCCACACGAGGCAATTATCAGCTGTGGATAAACTATAGCACCCCATATCCCACACTTGGGGTTAAAAAAAACATATTTACATAACATGAGTTTTTAAAGAAAGCAAAACTTCACTATAGATCCTTGTCCTTCCTCTTCTCTGACCAGCTTGGCTTTTCCCCACCCAGCTGCAAGCCTTTTTGTTTATCTTCCTTATAGTATTCCCCTCCTGCCTGGGCACTTTAGCCCTGACATTAATTTTAGCTGTGAGAGATGGCTAGGGAGAACCTCACAAAGGAGATGGCTGCTGAAACAAATTAACACAAAGTCAGTGGCTTTGAGCAACACAAAATGATTCTCTCCTGTTCTTACCAGTAAGGGCAGGCTCTAGGGCAGTCTTCCAGCTTCTGAAGTCTGCCTGGACTTGGACAGCCCTACACACTGTCTCCAGGCCAAGACCGGGGGAGCTAGTCCTTCTCTAAGCTGAGAGAGGGCCCCTGTCTTCCACGGTCCCTCGTGTCTGGAAAGTAGCAGAGTCCCAGGATCTGGAGAGTTGAATGTGGGCATCTTAGGGCACCATAGTCCTGGTAAAACGTGGCTAGTCTTAAAAAGGATTCCCAGAACCCTTGTCAGGAGAGTGCTCATCTTGGGGTGTAACTCATAGCTCTCCTGGGAGGTGGTGTGAGCAGTGTGGAGGCAGCGAGGACTGGCCTCGTGCTTTGGGTGAGGAAGGTGGAGAGATGCTAAGCATGAAGAGCTTGCTGGTGCCAGGCTGAGGGATTTGTAGCTGACTCGAGTCTGTGGCACACCATCAGACCTCTTCAAAAGGAGGACAGGGCATATTGGGGTGGGGGATGACGGAAGATGTAGAAAGGATGGAAGGCAAGCAAGAGAACTTTGCTGAGTGGTGTAATTCAGGAGAGGCAGAGGATGCCTGGGGGGTGTGGCAGGAGAAAGATGGCTTCCTCACTGTGTCCTCAGGGATGATACACAAGCACTGTATTCGTCAGCTCGCTGTGACTATAACCAAACGCCTGCTCCAGTCAGCTTAGACCTGAAAAGGTTTACCTTGGCTCACAATTTTGGAAATTTCATAAACCATGTTGGGTTTGCCCCACTGCTTTTGGGGCTGTGGTGAACAGAGTATCTTGGAATGGAGTTCCAAGAAGCAAAGCTATTCACCTCATGGCTGTGACGTGAAAAAGAGGAAGGACGACGAGAAAAAGACCCTGTCAGGCACTCGTGAACTTTTCCTTTGATGTCTCACGACAATGCACTTTTATAGTCTTATAATCGATTGGACTTACACATAATTGATTCTTTGAGAATTTTCTATGTGCGCACTTGACATTTTCATCTGCCCCACTCCGTCTCTTCAGCTCTATGCAGAAGGGCTCCGAACACACCCCCTGCAAACCTCGGGGCCTCGTGAGTCCAGGGTGCTCTGTCCAAGCGCACACAGGTGTGGGGCATTCCCTGAGGCATGGGCACCCTGCCAGTGGACACATGGCCCCTTCCCAAAGTGCCTCCTCCTCTAGCCAGTGCCTGGGGGCGGGGCCTTCTGAGCGTCCCCCGGCCACCTTGGACTCTTGAGCAGCTTCATCCTGTGTGGGTGTGTGCAGCTAACACCAGCGGCTGAGTTCCTGAGTGTGACGCCGTGTTCTGTCAGGAGGACAGCACTCCACAGCCTGGCTCTGACCCTCGTCATACCCTCTTTGGAGGTGTTTCCCGAGCAGGGGTGGGGGTGGGCAGACGCAGAAATCCTGTCTGGGGCTGAGAACCATTCAGTGTCCTGACACAAAGCCATCGCATGACTTCTGAGTGACAAAACACTGATTTGTCACATTTTAGTAGAGAACCTCAGTGGTCTCAGGATGTAAGGAGAGAGGGAGGGAAGGAGCAAGGGAGAGAGAGGGAGGTTTGGAGGGGAGGGAGGGAAAAGAAGGAGTCTGCAGGGCGGCTGGGGTGATAGCTGGGTGAGTAAGAGCGCTTGATGAGGGTGTGATCTTGAACCCACACACCCACAGAGACAGCCGGGCACGGCGGCACATGCCTGTAAAACCAGCACTGAGGAGCAGAGACAGGTGGGTTGTCTGGCCAGGCAGCAAGCCTAGACAGAACATGAAGCTGCTGGTCACTGAGAGATCCCTCTCAAGGCAAGAGGTGGACGGAAATGGAGGGAGGTGTCTGATACGCTGTTCTCACCTCCACATGGGAGCTCGCTGTGTGCATACCCATATACCCACGTGTGCAATGCATACACAGCTAGATTACAGCCCCCCACAGACCCGAGAGCAGTGCACACCGGGGCTGGACACGGCAGCATCCATAGAGAGAAGCCAGTGTCTCACTTGGCCCTGCTGCCCTGCGTGTGTCTGGACACTGGCGTCCCATCTTTCCAGAGTCCTCCAAGAGCCATGTTGATGCAGCACTCGGGAGATGCTGACCTCACAGTGTGCCTCTCCCTAGTTCAGGGTCAGGAGCTTTCCAGGCTCAGGGCTCAGCACCACTGTTCGAGGGCTGCTGTCCCCAGCTCCCCAGCCTGGGTGTGACAGGGGAGCACAGAGAAGGAGCAGCCCCGGGGGGGGGGGGGTGTGATATTGTGGGTGGCACGCTGAGGGACGATGTGAGCACACCCCCCTGCCCTGAGGAAGGGTGGCCAGGAGTCAAAGGATCTGCTGACCCTCAGGAGCCAGCAGACAGCTGAGCGCAGCCGTGGGCATGTGGGCAGCGAGGAACCCGGGGCAGGGGTGTGGACTTGTGGCCTGGAAGCTGCCAGGTACTCGAGTGCTCTTAAGATAGAGAGAGAAGTCAACTTGGTGCAATTAGTGCCGTCAAAGTGCAATTAGTGGGGCTCACGTCAACCCCTTCTCCTATAAGGAGACCATTCAAACACCCCAAAGAATTCCCTTCAAATAAAAATCGGTGCATTCTGGCCCGGAACGGGTCCATCCCCTGCGACCCCAGTCAGCACGGTGAGCAGGGCCCAGTTGCTTGCTTTCTGCCGCACCCCTGTCCCCTTCCACTCTAGGCTGAAATGTGCTCTTCAGAAGGGAGGCCAGTGGCCCTCACTTTCCTGTCACCTGGGGTTCCTGGCTCAGTCCACTCTCCTCACAGCTCAGCCTCCAGGAACCTGACGGCCTCCATTTTATTTCAAGGAGCAGCAGTCTGTAGATGAAGGCTCTAGGCGTGCATGCTGACGTCGGGCTGCTCCTAGATGGCATTTCTATTCACGTGGCTGCAGCTCCCGACTGTACCACAGAACCCCAGGGAATGACACGTGTGGGTGATGTGTTCAAGCCCCGACCCTTCCCTATTATCCATTGTCCTTGTAATGGAGGTGAGGGCAAGGTGCAGAAACGCATCCAAGACTGGATAGAAAAGCTCAGCATAGCGTGTGCCGTGACGTGGCTTATACGCCAGAGAATGCATTTTATTTTAAAAATAATAACTGTGTCTAAATGACTTGTAGTGTGAAAATCACTCACCAATAAAGATGGACCCGATGGGCTCGACGGTGTCTCCGTTCCGAAGGTGCCCGTTCTGGGAGCAAGAGCTGGCAAACAAGTACTCCTGCAAGCTGGTAGGTCTGCGCCGGTGGGCATGCTTTCCACGACAGTGCCTTCTTCTCTGCCTGTGCTGTGGTCCTCACGGGGACGCCGGCTCCTTCCCCCAGCCGTGAGGACCAGCATTCCCCCTGGCCTGAAAACTGAGGTCTGCCCCCC